GGAGGTGGACATATGAAAATTTGCTCCGGGCTCACTCTGCGATGCTTAACAATGCATCCCAGTAACTAATGTTGGTTTTACTACTCGTCATCGTCAGCTTCCATCGCCTCTGTCACTCTACTCCGTCGGGGGCAAGCATTCATCACTTTGATTGCAATATCTTCAGTAGTACAAGAACAAGTTTCTTGAAGTCCTCGTGATCCTGTGTCGAGAGAAGCAAATTGTCGTGCAAAGATTTCGGAGACGAATGAAGTGAGTATTGATGTAGCGTAGAGGGGATGAGCCCGAAGCGCTTGATTTGCAGAGCTGTGGGGTCTTGTTGCGCCGAACGGAATTGAGGCCCAATCATATGCTCGTATACTTGAACGGCAATGTAAGATACAGCAGTGATACTGCTCGCGCTATCCGTCCAAGCATGCTTGCCATTTTTGCCTCCGCCCTTCGAGTAGAATATCAACACTGTTGTGCGCCAACTTGAAATCTTGATGCGTGGTGAGTTGTGGTGATGGCAACGAGTCGCGCTTCAATTCAATGGTGAAACGATTTCCTGTCTTTTGATACAAAGTTGAACAATATTCTGGGCTAATTCTAATGCATTTTGACGGATCCACGATAAACGTTGCGATGATCTAGTCTACAGTACTATTTTACACTCGGCCGATAACGGTTCTGACATGTTAAAAAATGGTCGCATGTTGGAGGGGTGAACCAGGGGGAGGACTCCAAGACCCTCAAGTTTAGAGGTGCCCAGGGAGGCAGTCCTAGCACTCCCTCCAGAGGTGGACCAGGGGTAGTCCCTGGTAGGGATTATCGGGGGTCCTCTGAACGCCCTCATCAATATTAATGCGGATAACATAGTGATACGGGCCGAATTCGGTCCCTGCGCATTGTTCCTTATTAAAAAGCCGTTTGACGGACGGAAAAAAGTACATCCTTTTGGTGGTACAACCATAACATCCGACCTACATCCAACATTATACAAATTAACATTATGGCTATACAACAACCGCACCGGATTGTTCATGACAATCATAAAACATAAGCTTGCGCTTCATGGAAGTACCGCCAATAGGCAGGGAGAAGATGTGCAACAGAAAACCACAACTAACACCACACATCAGAATAGACGCGAGCCAGCCACAGAACCTCACTTACACTATACAATTTGCAGGACATTCGCGCTGCCTGCGATGTATTGCAGGTCATGAATCTGAGCCCACCATCGCTGCATAAGCAGTGAATGCAAATGTGCAGAGTGCGTTCACTCCCCACACGCGAGACAGGCAGATAGACCACAAAGGAAGGGCTATCATCATAGACATCCGCGCAAGATTCGGGAATGCTATGGGCAAGGTTTTCCTGCCTATAAGGCGGTCCCCCTCTACGTCCTTGAAATCCTGGGCATGCAATGTGCTCGCGAACACTGCAAGGCTCAGAACAATCGCCGAAATTGCGTTGGGTTCTAACCGTGACATATCTTTGCCTGTTCCGATGGTATTAATCAGTAAACAGTTCAGAGATAAGACGCTTGGTAATGAACCTGCAATAAGAGTGGAACCTATCTCGAAGCAGGCGTAACCCACTGCCGTTATAAAGCTCTTCGATATCCAGTGCTCGTGAGCTTTAAGCTCGTTGTAGAATAATATGAACAGCGTCAACAGAAAGCTTAAGCCAAAGACTTGTGAGCTGTAGTATGCAGATGTGGCGAGACAGATGGGAATGAGAGCCCATCGCAGCACAACAGCGTCTTCCAGGCTTATTAGTCCTGCAGGTATAGGTCGGGAAGACTTGTTCTTCCCATCCTCCTGAGGGTCGATTATTTGATTGGCGACATTAAAGTGGAGTAGATGGAGCCAGATCCAGAAAACAATGTGAAAACATCGTTGGAAATTGCAGAGTGGCCCGGCCACAACTGCGAATAGGGTCTAATTCTGGTGAGTGCATAGTAACAGAACGGCGACAAAGTGAATACATACAATTGGAATAATGGTCGTCGTGATGTCGTCCCTCGTGAAGAAATACAGAATTTGGAGGTAGCGCATGGCTGATCGCGGGGGGGTAGACAACGCCATTGCCTCTTAGTGACCTATCGTTCGTCCCTAAAAACTGTCTGGAAGTCGGTCGACGGGCCGGTATAAATATTCTAGCGAGCCTTGGAATCTTTCTTGTAATCCGAATGAATGTTAGATGATGTTGTTCTGTTTGATCGACATCATGTTTCAACCCCGGTGCCAAATTATCATCGGTGTCATCTACCGATCGATCGATGGTTTAATGAAAGCAATTTATATCACAGTTCCCGCGGGTGCGAGGTACGAGGACAGTTCTGGGCAGTTATTTTGGTGGTGTAGACGGTTGTTGGGAGACTGAAGTCCTTGTGGGAGTGACATCCAACCATCATACCCACCCACTGGCACTTGAGAGCCTGGTAAAACAAAAACCGTCAAGTAATTCCCGCGTGTCTTGATAGCATCAAAACGAAGCACCAGATCTACAAGAGCAAACAGTTTCAAAATCCTTCGCGGGAGTACTGGTAGGCCACGAGGACACACCCGATCATGCTTCTCAATAAATTTCCGGGACTCATCTGATGATATCTAATACGGTGGGTAGATAAGTCACATTTGTGGAAGAAGATAGGCACGTACCATAGGTGGCCATTAGTTAGTTTGACTTCGGCGCATCCGCTTAACCCGCGTGTAATAACCCCATGATACATTATACATACTTAATCACGTCAACGGTCAAGCTTGTTCAGAAGCTATTGCCAAACAACTCAACATCCGATAAACCGAATGTCATCTTTATCCTTCTTCGGTTCAAAGGCTTTTGCACTCCTCTAGCCGGGCTTAGCGGAGCGATGATAGGCTTTCTAATCTCAATCTTTTCCCCGACGATGTGTTTCGAGAAAATCGCGCAAGGAGCAGCGGTTTTGTTGCTGGTGGGTCGGTGGGTGCTGGTTTGCTACCATTTCTAAGGCCCAGGAATAAATGGATAGCCACACTGCAAGAATGTGATTGACGGTTGACCCACTAACACAGCCCGTATCAGACTGTGCGAAGAGGACTCAATAGCTGTCCTTCCGTCAAGTTGGCTGGTTGGATGGTATGCTATCGGGTGATGGAACTTGAAGAGGCATAAGCGAATCGGTCAATTCAATCGAATTATAGAAAATCCTCACGCCTGGCGCATCACATCCCCACGACCCCACTGGAAACGTTACTCCGCGTGGTCAGGGGTTATGACCGGCAGATACAATGGCATGAAACATTTGCCTCATGTGCGGGACCGATGATCGATCAGGGCGGGACAGGGTCGACGTCCAGGAACCTTGGGCTACATGAAAAAGAAGGAACGACTGTAGCTTGTCTTACACTATTTATTTGCAGGGTAGACTTGGGTACCTGGCAAGATGTTCACTAGCATTTGTGTCGCGTTGATGAGATGCGGGACTCCAGAGGCTGTGTACATGATTCAAGGTGATCAGACAGAACCCGAGAGCATCATGAGAGTCACGTTCGTACGACCTCATTCCTGAGAACATTTCATGGGGTCGAAGGAGGAGTGTAGACTGGATATGACGCGGCGGGAGTTGGAGCCCAGAGGCCTGAGCGCATTGCAATTGGCTGTCGTAGGCAGCTTCCTCGCAGTCTTAGAACTTCAAAACCGAGTCGGAGTCTAGCCCATGAAACGACGAATCTTCCTTCTAGAATCTAGATCTATTTGTCAGTCTGCAGGGTCGCAGCTCACCGCCTAGCTGAGTTCGGTCATGAACCTTCACATCGGCGGCCCAATTACAACGTTGAACTAGCTTCGACTCCCTCACAGCCTCTATTTTCGTCGCTCTTCGACGTCAGCAAGAAAAATTGTGCCATGTGCTCATGCAAGGCATCGGAACTAGTCTTCCTAGCTAGCCCTATAGAAGAAGGAACGTTCCTTCTAATACTATTAAGGCATTGAAACAATCTTCGCTGGCAGTTGCACCAGTAGAGTACAAACGCGATGGCAAGTTTGGTTAGACTCGTATATGCGTGCACTTCAGTGGTCCACTCGTACTAGCTTGTCTCCTCATCATATCGAGAGTTCGAGTGTTTCACTGCTAGTGTTTCAGCAGGTTTATGAGAATCGACAAGTCATTTTCAACACTGCGCAGCATGTGATAGTACTATAGTAAAGAAGAATCGACTGTCTGCCCGGGAAGACTATAGCTAGCTGCAACACCCTCTGAACCGGACCGCGCATCAGGAAATCAACCCGAAATTGATATGACCAGACAGAATTGGTAATCAAAACACATTATTGCACGTAGCCTGGGATATTTTTATCGTAGTGTCACACATAGGTAAGACTATACCAGAGAAATATCATCTTGATGTATGTCTTGGAAGCAGACAACAGTGAGATGTGACTAGGCTAGCGCACATGCTCATGTACGTCCCTCATATGTGCGTCCCTTACAGAACGTTGGAATCACTGTAACACTAATTAGACTCGTGTCCAGTTTGACTATGCAGCGCTGTTTGACACAGGCAACTCGGTTCGTGGTAATACTTATACACTTTGGCCAGGCTAGTCACGAGCCTATATATCACAAGACTCCAGTTTTCAGCGCCATTACAGATACTTTTTTATTCAACGAAACGAACGCGTCAACCGCTCTGTAAGTAAATATTAACGAACGACAACAGAGCGCTCAGCGCAGAGTCCAGACACAGTACAGGCTCCAATACGACAAAACGTCCAAAACCAACCAAAAGGCCCTAGAAACGACAGACACTACGTTGAAGCACACAAGACAAGAAAAGCACAACGACGCATGCGATAGTTGTAGCTACTAATGAATGAGCAGGAAGAAGAAAAAAAAACAAGAAAAAAAGGCTGAGATATTCAACACAACAGTGTCCGTGCGCTTTCTATAAATGCAATCTGTCCATGATCATATCCGCTGTCCGCTACTATGTTGCATTCCTCCATCTGGATTATAAGGATCATAATCTGTCCCCTCACTAGGTCTCCCATACGTGTCCCGATACGGCGAATGCAGGTTAGGACTGCTCGCGTTCCACGCCATGCTTGAATTATCCTGTTGCAACGGGACAAAGGCACTCGAGTCAGAAAGACGTGCTTGACTATTGGTGACTCCTCCGCGGGACGCGCCGTCGCCATACCCGTCGCGCGTGGCTCTCATGGCATACGCACCCGCAGGGTGCTGACGGCTAGCGGCGCGCCGACGGCGAGCCACAAAAATACCAAAGAGCGCACCGAGAATACCAATAACTGCAATAGCTCCAATCACAGCACCAACAATGGTACCCGTGTGCGTGCTTCCCGATGCACCGTTTGTTGTATTGCTGCTACCAGAGCCTTGAGCAGCGGCATTCTGGGAAGACGCCGGGAGAACGCTAGCCGCTTGCAAGGGTTGCGTCCCGACTTGGCCATTGCCGACAATGACCATCGTTC